TTTGCTTGCAATAGGAGATTCTGCCAGAATATTATATGTATCATTATTTTCCAATCTTTTTTATTATTATTATTATTAATGTCTCTAGAATTCTGCTTCCTATAAGTGTACAGAAAAATTTATTTTCTCAGTTAAAAATTCAAGCAAACCAAGAAGCAAACTTGGCAATGAAGTATGTCCGTCTCACCGTACAGACTGCTTTGTAAACCAGAGCAATTAGAAAAGAGCAGGTCCAGGGTTAATGAGACACTCATTAGAAAGAGAGAATTGTAGATACAGAAAGTGCTCTGTGCCTGTATCGAAGGGGAGGCTATTGTTATAGGATGTTTGCTCTGCTGATATTGTAAACCACATGACAGATGGGTCAAGTGCTGATTATGGTATTCTAACATTTGGAATAGCAAGTAACATATTTGATAAGCTGGCAAGTTTTTATATATGATTCAACCCACAATATAAAAGCCATGAGAATTCCAAATTGAAAATAATTAAATGAGCTGGAAACAATCAGATACCACACATTTTTCCCAAAAAATGACAGATTTTTACATCTTGAAATTCCACAAAGGGAGCAAGAATATTTCCTAGCTCACTTGAACTAATAATGGCCCTTCATCTGCTTTTGTAAAGCAATTAATTCCTGCCATCTCACAGCGTGGAGGCAACAGTCAACATTTGTAGTCATCTTAAAACTTCACAGAGATCTGTCCCATACATTGTTTTATTTGCTCTTATTAGCAAATTTGGAAGGTAGGTGGAAAAGATGTTTAAGATGAATACACTGAAGCATAGAGAGGTTTATATAGCAGGCACAAGACTATGTAGAAAGTTCAGTAGCATAATGAAGATGAAAAGCCAGCTTCTCCAACTCCTGATACTTCAAGTCATACTTCTGGTCATCTGAAAGAAAGAAACATCTATATGTTGACATAGATGTTCTTCACTGTACAAAAGCGTGTCTTCTTTGGTTAGTGATGCTGCTGCCATCATTCATGTATATCCGTCTGGAAAAAGACACGTCCAGTGTTTGCATTCAGCCTCTGTGTCTCTGTAGGGGTGGTGCTGGTGACACTGGTAAGAGTCTTGTTCCTTGTCAAACGATGTTACACCTCTGTAATGTTGAAGTAACGCCGAGAAAGTAGCAGCTCTCCATTTGTGTTTTATCATGTTTGCCTGTCTGGTTGTTCTTTTCAGAGTTGGTCATTTTACTTGTCACCCTTTGTTAAAGTCACGTTGTCTCTTTCCTTTTTTACTGTCTCTCTTCACCTACCTGAGCAGCTCCCCTGCCACCTCCTGGGCCTCCTCCTCCACCCACCCAAATGCAGACCAGCATGTTATATCAGAGGTTCAAAGGCATGCATAGGCCAAAATCAAGTACTGTAAACTTCTATCATTCCTTTACTCAGCAGCTTTCTAGTTTAGTTTGCTTTTCTTTCATGTTTCTTCTTGAAATTTCTGCTTGGACTATTAAGCTGAGGCTCAGGCTCTCGAGTTTAATGCTGTAGGTTTTGAGAGACTCAAAAGAGAGCATTTATTTCCAAATGTCCACATTTTTTTGTCTAGCTATGTCTGACATATGCAACATTTTCAAATCTCAATGTCAGCACAAAATAACATTGTTGTTGCATAACATTTTGCATGACAATTTTTTTCTATGTTATGAGCTTCAATTCTGTTGTATGAAACGTTTCCTAAGTATACAGTATTTTTAGTACCCTTTCATCAGTGCTCCAGCTGGTACAAAGTTGGGGGATAGAAATATCTCAATACATTTTAAGACAGAAGAGTTGACCCCCCAAAAAAAAAAATTCTAAGTATAAATTTCTCAACCTCTGTTGGGGGTAGGGAGGAGTTGCTAGAGAATTTTGCACAATATTTTCTTTAAAGACAACATCTTAGAGAAGTCATTTTTAGTGCTATTTTTGCCATTTAGCTAGCAAATTAACTATGCAAATGAAGAAGAAAATAGTGCTGTGTCTCCATAAAGTGGCTTGATCTACAGATAATGGAATAGCAGCTAATTAATAGTAAATGAAAGTCTGGTTACATGGGTTAATTGGCAGATCAAGCATTCTAGATTAAAGGATCCTTAACCTGCTTACTTTAATGGTTGCATGTTAAAGTAAAATTGGAAAAGGTTTTATTAAACATACTGTCTGTATATATACATCAAGCAAACACATATCTGCGTACATGTGCACATACTCATAAAATGGCTGTGTGCACATATACACTTTATGTGTATATATTGATCTATATTGTACTCAATCTAAGAGTATTGTATATTAATACAAATCTTCAGATGATCCTAGGTTGAGCATCTTGGATTTCTCCAAACGTCAAAATCATTCACAGTTTATAAATAAAAGTGCATAAAAATATTGGTGGAAATTATTTCACTTGTACATCCTGTGTCATATGCAGCTAGAATTTCCCTAGATTTGGTGAGTATTCCACCCGCAAGGACAATGCTCTCTACTTATAAAGCAAGAGATATCAAAGATGTGCCTCAAGCAGGATTTCTGCAGATTTGTATTAATGTGCAGGCTTGTCTGGTTATTAGAAAAATGTATGTAAGTGTGTGATGTGTGTTTGTGGGTGTATGTGTCGAATGGGTAATAAGCATAGGATGAGGAATTTGCAAATTGATGTGTAAATGTGAATATCAACTAATAAAAAATAGTAACCTATACATATTTACTATCAAAATGCAAATGCCTCACTCTACTCATATTACCCAAACATATATACACAGTATGTTTGTAGAAATGCCTCGAAGTCTATTAATGAAATTATGATCATCTATTTATGAAATTATAAATAAGCCAGGTATCCCAAAAAGCCCGGAAATCAATCTTGTCACTCATCCTTTCTCCCAGGAGTTAATGTTCTGGACCAGGCAATGAGCTGCCAACCCCTAAGCTTGCCACATCTCCCTACTCCAGGTGTCGGGTATTCTCTGTCTCATCCTACCTTTGTACCAGAACCACTTCTAGACAGATTTCCACCTGGGCATAGTATTGACCTGAATCCAGAAGGCCTGTTTTTACACCATCCATCAATCCTTGTTCAAGTGAAATTTTGAACATGTGGGTAAATCCTGCCCAGTCTCATCAGTCACATTTAGCTCCCATTGTTTGGAACACTCTTTGCATAGAGTTTCACTGAATTTTTTTTTTTTCATTATTAAATTCTAATTACCAATGATCTGATATATTCTTCACATATCTAAGAAATTCACAAAGGGAAATTATGAAGGCCTTTTTTTAAAATTGGCAATTTATTATGATTTGGTTTCGATCTACTTCTGAAAAGTCAGCCATTGAAAACTCTGTACAGCGTAGTTGTGCTCTGACACACATGGGGTCACCATAAGTTGGAGTAAACTCAATGAGAACTAGTTATGATTTAGTTTAAACTCTCTTCCTCCCTCCCCCAAAAAACACATGACTTCCTATGAAGGATCAGGTAATCTTCTCTACCAAGAAAAACCCTGAAGCCAACACCTGTCTGCTTCACATGAAGAGAGAAAAATAAGGTTTAGAAGCCCTTTTGCACATATATATGCCTACCTTTAGAACTGCACCAAATGATCATCATTCCCACTCTACTCATGCACTCTAAATAGCTGTGAGCCTTCAAGGTTTGAAGGATGCTAAGCAAGAGATAGAGGATCTCTGGTGGCATAGTGCCTAAGGCATTGGACTGCTAACCAGAAGATTGGTGGTTCAAACCCACCAGCTGCTCCATGGAAGGAAGATGGGACAATCTACTTCTGTAAAGATTTACTGTCTCAGAAACCCAACAGAAGTTGCTGTGAGTTGGAATCGACTTGATGGCAGTGAGTAAGCAAGAGATAAAGGAGTCCTGGGGTGCAACAATTAAGAAAGATAGGACGATCTGAGTGCATGACAATTGCAGGCTAGGAAACCCTATGGGGAAGTTCTGTTCTGTCACATGGGGTCACTATGAGTTGACAATCTTCTCGATGGCATCTTACACCAACAAAAACAAGCAAGAAATAAGAGTTCTTGGGTGAGGTCAGACTTGTTGAATTCAGGCAATTTCATGGGCTAAGAAGCCCTTTACCTTTTTAATGTTTCTCTTTTCCCCAAGGAAAAAAGTTTATAGTTGTTGTCATCATAATAACATTGCCAAACATTCATGAACTAACTTCCAGACAGAGTGCATCATTAGCCAAGGGTGGATCTGTTGTTAAGCCCGGTTAAATAAATAAATAAATAAATAAATAAACAAACAAACAAACAAACAAACAACCCTTTTAAAACAATATAAACTAAAAACAAAGACCAAATCTGAGTACTTTGTTGCAACCTAAAATTTTGGTTGTACCATCCAGTGGCACAAACTGCCAGTAATCTACCTCAGCACCCTTTTAATAATTCTATCTTGGCATCTACCTCATGGCCCAGGAATGTCTTACTTTCTTTGCAATCTCCTCCCAGGACAACATGAAACAGCAAAACCTTTGAATCTGCTTTCTCAAAATGAGTGTTCCGATACCTGTTAAACATGCAGACCTGTAATGAAAAACGATGCTGTAGTATCGAATGCTTAGTGACAAACCCAGAAAACAAATGTAGCAGCAATCAAGATTAAGCTTCTGTTACATCTGCCCACTTCACATAGCACGAACACAGTCTAGAGGGTGGTGTAAGATAGTGTGTTTATGCTGTCTTTAAAGAATGTGTGTACAAAATGTCACTAAATTTGAAATGGGCTGTCATAAACTTCACATACTTGAATGTGCAAATTTAAAGCTGGAGCACTGTTTTTCCCTAATATGTATTATAATGACAATGGTGACAATAATAATAAACTGGCTTTACGGTTTGCTCACTACTAATTACACAGCACTTAACATTTGCATGAAACTTTTTGAAAAATGGTAACTATTCAAAATTTATCCACTAGTTCTAATGGCCACAAAACTAGCCTGCTGCTTTCTCTGAATTTTAACACAAATTCTTGTACTACAGAAAATGTAGGCCGCTTAATCACCCCTGCCAAAAAGCTTGAAGACACAATCCGTCTTGCTGAACTAGTCATTGAAGTTCTTCAACAAAACGAGGAGCACCACGCAGAGGTGAGCAGGTGTGCGGGGAAATATCTTTAATGTTCCTAGCTGACACTGTAGAATGATTCTGCTGGCCAGATTGTCTATGATGCCTTCACCCCCATTTTCTTTCAACTGGGCTCGCAAAGAGTAAAAGCAGACATTTTGCAAGGAGAAGCCTACGGAAGGTTGTTTACTACAACCAAAAAGTAGTTGTGTTTTGTGCATTTCAGCCTAAGTTTTCAGATATTTCTAGCAACAAGCAAAAGAGGTGAGTGTATTTTACAGATAATTATCCAAGCAGCATATGGTTACCATTGTCCAGAGCACACAAAATATTTTTTGGTCTGTTGTGGTTGTTTTGTTGCCACCACTGTTGTTTTTATTGGTTCTTTGCTGTGTGGATCGTGGGCCGTCTTTTTTAATTTATCACTGTACCTTCCTCTGCTTGCACTACGGTCTTCATTTGTAACCTTAGATTACATGGGTTGCTAAAACAGTGGCAGAAGTGAATTACTCTGTTGTTCAATGTGTCAATTCTCCAGCCTACATCTAAATAAATACTGCTTACTTTCTTATAAATCACTGTAAAAATTTCCATTTTTATAATAATTATAAACCAAAGGATTTCGAGGCTAGCTAAATCTCAAACCTGTAAGGGCCTTAAATAACCCAGCCTTTCCAAGAAGAGCTTCCAAGATCTTTTATAGTCAAGTTGTCATAACACTGCTTGTTTTGAACCTGAGATTTAAAAACATATCTTTTAAAATATCCTTTTTGAAAATTGCACTAATTCTCACTCTTCCTCTACATCCAGATCTACAGCAAAAGGGGGAAAAAGGGCATTCCATAAAAGTAATTTCTCAAGCACCTAAAATGATCATTCCCATGACTAAATGAAACTTGACAAAGTAGATAAATTATATATAATACACCATAAATCCAATCTTCCCGACTGATGCCTGATTGCATATTTAAATTTCCTCCCTGTTTCTCTACTGTTCATTCAATCTTGGCTGATCGTGGCAGGGGAAAGAGGTATGTGACTAAACCAAATGAACCAGCCACCTGCTGTCATACTCTGTGCATGCCCTTCCAATACCATGTCTTCTAATGGGACTTTTCCCGGGTGCTCTTGCTTTCTAACATTGACCCAAGGAATGTAACAGCAACTTCCAGTGGACTGCTTGTGAAATGGGTGGCCCTCCACAGCAGGGTAAATGTGGGTGATTCTCTGTGCGTGCATGAAGCAATTGATATACTTAACAACAAGTGCAGTTACATCCTGAGACACGCCTCCTACCTGCCTTGACTCTGTCCTTAGCCTGTTGTAGTTCCCTATGTCCGTCTGTACTTACCTTTATTGGAGCCCACGAGTAACGAACTTAGTAACCAGTAGCCAGCCGGAGTGATACTAATCTTCCTATAGAACTGTCTGTATGTGAGTCGTATATACAGTATTTATATATAGAGAGAGTGCCAAAGAATCTTTATTTCCCAAACCCTCCAAGAATGAGGGTTTATATATGAGATGATATAAGTAACTCATACAGCACCCAGCAAGGTGCAGCCATCAGTGAGAAGGGTAGTAAATCAACAACCTCCAGACATATAAAATTAACTTGGGTTAGAATTTTTTTTTTTTTTTTTCTGTTCTATATGATGCTCTTTTGGGATTGGGACATTTGGGGTTCAAGAGATGGTAAGTATGTTCTTCCAGGCATCCTCAAAATCCAGAAACATGGAGGGGATCTGCCCTGGTCCCCCGATTTGGGTAGTTGGGGCTTTTTCCAGGAGGCCTGATCAAATCCACACATTGTTGGAGACATGGATTCAAGAAGAATGGTTTTCCTCAGTTACAGTTCAGCTTTAAGTGAATGGTAGAAGAAAAACCACAGCACATACTTGATTTATCATCATGGTATTCTCTGAGGCTGCTGCAGGCTGAGAAAGGATATGTATTTTTTCCAGATTACTCAGAAGAGCTGCCAGAGGAGAGCTTACATTCCAAAGAAGACATATTTACTTTTTCAGAAAGCCCTTCTCCACTAAATTGGTCATCTTCTTGAACTGCCCTAATAACCATCATCACAAATTATTTTAATCTTACATATTCAAAAACCACTTGGGGTGAATAACTAGGGCAGAAATCAGTTCAATTCTGTTCTCATTCCTAACTTCCAAAGTTAGTAGTGAAAATTTCAGCATACTTTGGAGTTCCAGAAATCGAGTTTGCTCTTAAATAAATGCACAGGATTATTCCCTGAGTCAGTCACTTCACCCAATCACAGAATCTCATTGCTTATGAGAAATTAATTACTTAATCAACCAGTTAAAAACTCTTTATGAAGCATGTCCTATCTGCTGAGCACTGAGGCACTTACCTAGATGATTTTTTGAGGACAAAAAAATAGAATACAGAGTAGCCAAGAGCTCAGGCTCTGAATTCCAGCTTTGCCTCTTCCATATTTTGTGACTTCGACTAGTTACTGAACCTCTCTTATCCTGTATATTGGACATAATAATAGAATCTACTTCAACTGACTGTTGTTAGGCTGGAAGACCACATGAAGTAAAGCATCTGGTATTGGCACATAGTGAGCACTGAACAAAGGCTGGCTGTTTTGTTTACTAGGAACAAATCACTAAAGAACAAAAATATATGAATATGTGTTCATGAAAAGGACAAAACCTAAGTGGAAAGTACCAAGTGAATGAAACATTCAAAAAGGATTGAAAGGAGAGTGGCTTCAGTTCCAGGTGGAATGGCCAAAGAAAGCGCCCCTCCCCTACCTGTTCTCAATTTTCACTACCAATTGCAATCACCTAGGAAGCTCTTTAAAAATACCAATGCCCAGGTCTCACTCCAGTTCAATTAATGTGAATCTGATGGAGAAAGGCCAAGCATTGGTAATTTTTTAAAAGCTGCCCAGGTTATACCAGTGTACAGCTGGACTTGAGAATCACTGGCCCATTGCAGACAACAGAATTTGCACTGGGGCACAAAGGTTGGGTTGTTGCTGCCAAAAAGTATGAAATTAAAACAAGTTGTTTCTGCCCACCAGTACTCACTGCTGTATTCCTTGGGTGCTCAGTAAACTCTAGAAAATCATCAAATCCTAAGCATGATTTTTGACTGTACAGTCGTGTTGTTTTGTGGCACCACACAGATGAAAGTAACAAATAGACTTGCCTCCACACCTTGAAAAAAAATAACCCCTAAAAGCCATTTTTAATTCCAAAATAAAGCAATTAAATGTCCCAAGATAAAACATTCCTAGCAGCTAAGAATATATCATATATACACAATAAAGTATATGGTAGCAGTTGTAACATTTATCTTTTAATTATATTTTGTTCTCAGGGTCTAAGCTATTAAAACACACACATGCACCTATAGACACACACATGAATTATGCCTTCATGTACTGTTGCTTCACTTTCCCAATCTCTCTCTCTATGTATACGTATGTATATGTATATATGTATTGTGGTATACAGAGGGGTACATATATACATGTTAGTTTGTGTGCAAAATATACAGTGTGTTCAGTGTGGTTGACTGTACCCCTAAAGCCCACATCTATGCCTTTGAATAATGAAAATCATTGGGTAAGTATTTAGAAGCCAGAATATAACTCCTCATTATCTTTGGAAAAGGTTCCTAAAAACTTGAGATGTCTACAAATATTATGTTAGCTCATGTACAAAAATAGCACTCACCTGTTCCAGCAAGCATAGAATAAATAAAGTTTAAAAATAAAGAAATAAAAGCCATGTCTTGCCCATCTCAGTTATACAGACTCTGCTCGTGATTGAAATTATGGTATGGCTCTTAGGTTGTTATTTCTCTTGCTAGAATCTTTTTTTTTTTTTTTTTTTTTCCTCCTTCTCAGAGAATCGGGTGTTGTTATAAGGTTTTGAAAGAATTATCTAGGAGGTACAGAAATAATCCCTGGTCTCCACCTCTTCTACCACCCAAATTTAAGTCCTTTTGGTTCTCTAGAATCCTAAATTTCTCTTCCAGGATTCATTGGTGATAATTCATATCACAGTAATCATTGTTCTTTGTAGGACTACTTAGCTATTTGATGGTTAGCACAACCACTGTAGATATTTGCTCAATAATTTATTAAATTACAACTTGGGACTAAATTCTCTGTACATGGTAGTAGTGGGTGCTTCCTGTGGTCTCTGGTTTGCAACTCTTAAATTAAAAAGCTGGTAAGAACTAGGTGTAAGGTTGGATTAAGACATTTTTAAGTTCAGGCACTTAGGGTTGCTTTTTTGTTTGGTTTGGTTTTTCTTGTCATCCCAGAGCAAAATCATGTCTGGAAAGGCAAGTGGGTCTCCTCAGTGAATTTTTTCCTGGACTTATGTGAAGATGTAAAGTTAATTCAATGACCAAGGAATTAGTATTGACCAACATTAGTTGTGCCTTGGTGAATTTTGCAAACATCTTGGATCAGGATTGCTAAGAATCAGCCCTCCAAACGGGGTTAGGGTTGGGTGGATGGGGCCTCTAGCAAGTTCCAGTATTTAGCCAGTCTCTGCCTAAAAGAAAGGAGCTCTGGTGGCACTGTTGTTAAAGCATTGGATTGCTAACCAAAAGGTTGGTGGTTTGACCCACCAGCCACTTAGCAGGAGAAAGATGAGGCAGTCTGCTTCCCTAAAGATGTGCAGCCTTGGAAACCCTATGGGGTAGTTCTACACTGTCTTTAAAAAAAAAAAAAAAGTCACTGCTGTTGAGTCGATTCAACTCATAGCAACCCCTGCTTGGGTTTCCAAGGAGTGGCTGGTGGCTTTGAACTGCCAGCCTTCTGGTTAGCTGTCAAATGCCTTAGGCACTATGCCACCAGAGCTCCCACATTGTCCTAGAAGGTCACTATTACACAGAATTAACTATATGGCAGTGGGTTTAGTTAAGTATAGGTTAGGTTTTTTGGCTTTGGTTTTGTTTTTTTGCCTAAAAGACAGGTGGCTGGGAAAGTGCTGGGGATGGGATGGAGGATTTTTTCCTCTTCTGGTCTTAGCCTGGCAGTCAGTGGAACAAGCCCCAAGCCTCAGGGCTCTCATCGTCAGGTGGTAACACTACAATAAAACCTCATTAGTTCAGATCCAGGTACTTGGAGTTTGTGACAATTCAGCTGCAGATGTGACTGTTTCAATTTTCCTGAGGTAAAATGTTTGACGTGATCTCAAATTTCGCTGGAAGTTCCAAAGGCTCTTACAAGTTATCTGAACTCAGAATTCTTTTCCATCTCTGGGCCAATGAAATTAAAGCCTTCCTTTGTCTTCAACTGACAGGTCAGCTTACCTTACAATTATTAGAAGTTTAAAAAAAAAAAAAAACTTTTATTTTTGTAGTACATTCGTATGAAAATCAGTGTAGACTAAATTAATGCCTTTTCATTTGGTGCCCAATTACAGACTGCATTTGAAAATTGTAAACTGATAGTCTGTGTAGAAAGCCCAATCACTGAGGCTGTTTTGCTGACACACTTGCATCTCCTCTTCCTGGTTATTCTGAATCAGTGAGGTTTTACTGTAAATTAAAATGGAAACAGCAGGTGTCTATTTCCAGCCACGCCGACCTTGCAGAATGGTCCATGACTTGATTTTTTCCATTTAATTTGCAAACCAGCCACATGTTGATAAAGGAGAAGTAAGTAAAATGAAATCTCATGAAAGAAGAGAGGTGGACTCCTAGCCTACCTCTTGGTGGCTGTTAGACTATCCCCAATAACTAATAGATCACAGAAGAGCTTGGCCATTGAACAAACTCTTTCATTTATGGAATTATTTCCATAATCATCTTTCATGTTCCCAAATGCCTTCCCATCTTTTTTATTTCAGTGAATGCTCCAGAAAGTGTTTTCAATATAAATACTTATGGCATCAGTTGGGGAGGTGGGGGCAGGAGGGGCTGGTGATTTGTTTTCGTTTTTTTCTGCTCTCTTTGAAATCAAAAAAAAAAAAAAAAAAAAGGCCTGTTGACACCGCCACTCATTCTGCATGCTCCCTGCCAGAAACTATTAGTCAACATGCATGCATGCCTTTGAATCACATTCACATCTGGCCCAGTCTGATGCGAATGTCACCCCTGAGACCCTGCACAATGATTTCCAAGGACCCACGTGCATGAAAATGAGTTACTTCACTGATATTTTTTGGTTTTCAATGTATATATGTGTCCAAGCCCCTAGAACAGTAAGTCCTAATCTTACTGAGTGTTTCATAGCCTAAAGCCTTATCCTTCCTACCAACCAAATATAAAACCGAAGCCTTCCTGCTTAAAGAGATTTTGACTCAAAAGTGTTGTGGCAATGCAGATAATGGCTCCCTTTGACTTGGTATGAAATAGGAGAAACATTTCCAATGTGTAGGGAAGCATGAGTCCCTGAGTTTGTATGAGACCATAGACAATCAAGCCCCAGGCACTTAGTATAAGGTGAACAATAATCATGAAATTTCAAGTTAGCAGACCAGCAGAAAACCCATAAACACAGTGAAGAAACTCCCAAATTCTGATAACTTAGAGCAAGAACTAGCAAACATCGGTAATAAACAGCATGACTCAAGACACACTGAGTTATTGTAAATTGAACAGAAGTTGCACATCTCATCATTTCTCCAGCAGCATCCTCTGACCAACAGGTCAGAATAGAGTCTCTACGGCAGACCTCTGGCAGGCCTTAGAGTACTCAGAGACCCAATTTTATTAAAATAAATAAATACTGTTCTCTTTACAATAAAATTACCAAACCCTGCTGGATGTACAATTAATCTTGAATAGTGAGGTCTTGAATCCATGTCCTATGTCCAAGAAAGAAGCTCATCACATCTTTGTCTATTGTTTTTCTACCAAATTTAAAGGCCTTTGCGTGGTGGTCAGACTTAATGGTGGAGCACGCTGAGACGTTCCTGTCGCTCTTTGCGGTGGACATGGATGCAGCCTTAGAGATGCAACCCCCAGACACGTGGGACAGTTTTCCACTGTTTCAGCTGCTGAATGATTTTCTCCGTACTGACTGTATGTATCATCTTCAACTCCTTGACGTTCTTGAGTGGTGTGCCGTTAAACAGATTGCTAAAACATCTTTATCCCTGGCAGACTTCAGGCTGGGCAAAGGTCTTCATGCTTTCACTTTTTAAAAAAAGAAGAAAAAGTACTCTTACACCTGATGGATTTTCCCTTTTTTCCTAACAGGTGTCCTATTGCAAGGAATCCCTATCTTAACTAGACAGAGGAACCCAAGGGCCATGTGAGAAGAGATGTCTGTCCTGTGTGTTTTAATCTCTTTTGAACAAGTTAATTAGTTTAACCTCTTCACATTTGGACTTTTTTATCAAAAGATGATTTTTAGATGAAAAACAATTTCTAGCTATACAGCACCCTGACTTGTGGTAGCACATAGCTGTGAAATAGACCTTCTTTCCCAGGGAGGATGGTGAAGGAGAGGAGGGATGGTCTTTCTTCTTGGTAACATAATAGGAGGGAAAGGAGCAAATTCAAGGAAAAACAAACAAACAAAAAACTGTGTGGATTATTGTCTTTGTTGTTTTTGAAAGGAGCATGATTCTCCTTTTAGAAAGGAAACACAAATGGGTCTAATGTTTTTTAATTCCATTTTCCAACACACACACATTCTCCCAAAAGATTCTCATGCGTTCTTATGCACCCCCAAACAATTATGACAATGCAGGTCACCAGAGTTACAGTGTGGCTGCCCAGTCTCTCTCTGTCCTCTTCCCTCGCTCATACACTCACCCTGTGGCTCCACACACCTTATCTCTGGCTTTCAGACTCATGAGGAGGGTAGAATGAGGCCAGAATAGTCAGCCCATGTTGAGTCACCCCAAGTTGTCCTGTCAGACACAGTCCCATACCATGGCATACACACCAACTACATTGTCATCAGCCCCAACCATGTTGGACAGAGCCCCATGTGCATGCACACTCTCATCCTACACAATCCACTTCCTCTAGTGAGGGAGATGGTAGGCACTTGCCCTTTCCGCATTAAAGCCTTGTGTGGAGGGAATTCGTCAAAAGGCTCCTCTGGGCATCACATACTTCTGTTTTACTTCCTTAGCAGGAACATTATTGTAAAGAGTTTATTGTAAGAGACAATTGCCTCTGTGTGTACATTGTACATTGATAAAGGAACTGTGGTTTCTTACGAAGATTTTGCTTATCTGTTCTAGATAATTTGTGCAATGGAAAATTTCACAAACACCTGCAAGACCTGTTTGCCCCACTTGTTGTTAGATATGTGGATTTGATGGAGTCCTCAATTGCACAATCCATTCACAGGGGCTTTGAGCGGGAGTCATGGGAACCAGTCAAGTAAGGAAACCTCTTTTGATACCATCGGAGTTTGGGTGCAAATAGCTGGAGAGTCATACAGAAATGGATTAATGGTGTTATACAGTTTTTATTGCTAGCGTGGACAGAGATCAAACATTTTCTGCAGTGGTGCTCATCATTGGCCCCTTGTCCAAATGGAGAGTGGGGAGAGGTGGGAAAATGTTCTATGAAATGGAATCTTTGTTTTTATTGCACAAGATAAATAAGGAATATAAGCCTGGCTGTGATATTTGTACTGTGTGTCTTATGCTCTTGGTGTTATCCCTAGGGATTAGCATTTGCTAGAGTGTGTTCCATGGTGAATCTAGGCACGCCCTTTGCCTAGATCAGCAAAAATTTTCACTAACAAGCCAGATAGTAAATATTTTAGACTTTGCAAGCCATATAGTCTCTGTCACAACTACCCAGTGTTGTCATTGTGGTACAAACACAACCATAGACAATACTTGAATTAGTGAGTGCAGCTGTGTTCCTACAAAATGTTTACAAAAGCAGAATACTGCCCTATGGGCCATAGTTTAACCTTCCTTGGTCTAGGCCTCTGATACACATCTCAAGAAAAGGATGGCTAAATATATTTAGGAAAGACTATATATATAGCCTACTAGTAGTGCACCCCACACTCTTGTCTCCTAAAGATCCATAAAGCACACTGGTGTGTTTTAAAACTCTGAAAATAGAATAATACAGAGTCTTGTTTACCTCTGTTTAAGCCAGAATTTCCAATGCATTATTTCACCATTGGTGCTCTTTTTTTTTTTTTTTTTTTTATTAAAAAAGGGGCTATGTATCCCACAGGACATAATACAAGAAATCCTGTGGGTGGTGAACTTGTCAATTCCCACAACTACTTGGTGAATCTTAGAACCTATTTGGGGATGTTTGGCAAATCATTGCCACCCCTAGATCCCAGCAAGCAGGGGAGAGCTGATGTCCAGCTTGCCAGAGGGTCAGCTTCAGACTCCCCTTTCTAGAAAGATAGAGGAGGCCCATGTGAAGAGTTTTCTGTTGTGATCTGAAAAAGCCCTAGTAAAGCCTGATATTAGCTTTGGCCTGTTAGAGTTTGGTTTTTATTTCCTTTATTTTTTTCCTGTAAGAAAATTATTTTGTTCTCTCTAGACCTTTGCATGTTTGAGATCTAATAACCAGTACGGGGCCATATGAGGGTATGAACAAGCAAATTTCCAGGCACTCCAGAACAAATACGCAAGAGGTTATAGTCCTCAATTGAGAAGCCTTGAGTCATGTCGAGTCTTAAAGCAATTTCCTGGAATGAGATCCTCCCTCTAATATTACTTATATAAGACTCTGACTGATAAAGAAACTAAGGTAGATTTGCTCTGTCTGCCATCCTTCTGCATCTAAGCCATGAGAGAACTTTCTTGATTTACCCTACTAAGCATAGATTAATAAGTAGAAGCTCTTCTTTTGCAAGTACCAAGAACTCTAAATTTTGGCTTCTTGTTCTTAGGTTTTTAACGGTCTCTTGATATGGCCCTGCTAACTTTTAACTCATGAGGACAAAACTGGGTCCCTTAATGATAAGCCATCAATGGGGGGGGGGGCTCTTTTTTATTTTTACTTTTTGAATAATGCCTATAGTCAAGACAGTTGTGCTTTGATATGACAAGGAAAAGGGAGGTAAAATTCATAATATGCACATTTTTAAAATAGCAATGGCCTTGAGACAGCATTTACTTACTTGGATTTAAACATGGAGGCTACTACTACCAAACCTCATGGGAGAGAATAATCAGTACCCTTCACCTTTTCTTAAATAGCCATAGATGTAGAGCCTTACCCTCCATTTACAGACTGGAAGGCAAGTGTTTGAACCTCTCTGAGCTTGTTTTTTTTCATCTGAAAAGAAATGATAGAAAATGCCCTACCCAGTGTCTGAAAATTATGATGAAGCCCCACACTAATCTTGCTAAGGTTATCTTAAATTTAAGGTCTGTTAAATTCTTCACAAATCAGATGTGTGACTGCTATTCATTTTGAAGCATTAAATATCCTTAGTACTATCAGAAGTAAGGTTAGAGTCAAAGTCATTTTCACAGTTAAAAGTGTTAATCTGGGAATGTTTGCTGGGGGATTTTTTCACTGATTAAAAATATAAGAATAAAATTTAAACTTCTGGATCAGGAATTTAAAGACCTGAAAATATATGAAGGAATAATAGTTGTGGACAGTAACCTGAGAAGATTTTATGTAGATGTAGATGTGGACAGCTTTTTACTGTCCAAAATTATACTGTTGGTTAGTGAATAGAATTGCAGTTTGTTCAGTTCATGCAAGAGGGTATGTGCCTTTCAGAGTATGTGGAGATACTTGAACATACCAGCAAAACGTCAGCTAAATTAAAATCCTTTGAAACCATGTACGTTTTATTAGCTGATTTGTAAACAGAATGTGGCTGCCACAGGATAACTTTGCAGAATGGCACAAAACAGATAGAAGAAAAGAGATTGGGGCATGTTTATGTGCTAAGACAAGTGTATTTCTCCATGCTTCCACCATGTGAACAAAAACAAATTATGAACCTTCATGTGACCACTTTATTAGAGTGTTGACAAAGAAGCGAGGATATATCTTTCCTTTTGCACAGCACAAAAAAAATGCTACCAATATACTAATTTTGCCAAAAACAGAACAAAACTTTACTCTTTACTCTTCAGATTATCTTATTTGAAAAGATGACCCTATGAAAGAAAATAGAGATATAATCACCATTTGAGTTTGGTACAGTGGAAGTCATTTGCCTGAAAGAATGAAATGTCTAAATCCTATGCTTGCCTTCCTCTAGAAGCTGGCCTTCTATCTCTGCAAGGAGAAAAGGTGACTGTGCCTCAGTTTCCATTAAGCCAGATACACTCATGGTTAGGATCTCGAGATATGTTAGTAAAAAATGTCCTCTCTTAGTTTCTAACCACAACTGCAGAGAGCCCCTCAAAGACAGGCCCAAGTTGTTAATAAAATCTGGAGCCCATTGCCCTCTCCTGGGAATTCATCAGGACATGTCATGGGGCCTTTACTTTATGGACAGGTTACTCACAACCCCCCTGGCAGCCCTGGTGATTTGCTATTGGCTCAACTAGTTGGTGGCAGCATTTCTACCAGCTCTTTAGAGTGAGTTCACTCTTAGTCAAGCTATCACAGCTTTCAGTGTGAAGGAAACTTAGAAAGCATCCAATTGAAAATCTTGCCCATTCCAAGACCCCCCTGCTACCTTCTGTCTGATAGATGGCCTCCCAATCTCTATTTACATACCTCCAGACACAAGGAATCCTCAGCTTCATCACTACCCATTGCATGTTAGAATAGACGCATCCTGTAAAATCTAGGTTTCTTGTTTCTCAAAATGTGTTCTCTGTGCCAGAGATAAGCATATGAAAATTAATTTGAAAAGAATATCCTTTATCAGATTGCTTTGTAATGATACTAAACCATTAGACCAAAGACATTTTGGCCAATAGATGGCCTCATGAGAAATAGGGAAGTCTGGTAGCATAGTGCCTAAGGCATTTGACTGCCAAGCAGAAAGGTGGTGATTCAAACCCACCAGCCACTCCTCGGAAGGAAGATCGGGCCATCTTCTTCCATAGAGATAGGGCCTCAGAAACCAAAGGAGGGATCGACTCGACGACAGTGAGTTTGGTTTTTTTTTTTTTTTTCCATGAGGAATACATGAGCACTGAGCTTAGAGTCAGAACTCCTGTCTCTGCCAACAACTTGCTGGGTGACCTCTAACAAATCACTTGCCCTTTCTGAGCCTCAGTATTCTCCTTTGTAAAACAAAGGCTCTGAATCCTCAAGTCCTTTCCAACACCAACATTCCCGAAAACAAGATGTTCTGCATTCACATACACATATATATTTGATCAGCACTGCCTCCCCAGTGCCTAGAACAGGGCCTGAGGCATAATAAGTGTTCAATAAGTATTTGTTGATTAACTGACTCGTGTATTTATTTATTAAGGAACTTGTGCAGGGCAAGAACTGTAAGGATACAATAGGCAAATTATGGGAGTGGGAAAGAGGAAAAAAGATACATTCCTCCAATTGGGGATGTCAGTGTATTTGGGTCTGAGCAACATACACAGGAGGAAAATGACTTTCAAATACCAATCATGCCTCTACAGAGAGGTGGCTCATATTCAGAGCATCTGTTTAGTGTGTTGCACACACCAAATGTATTCTGTGCAGTCACATGTACAAATACCATGGGGAAGAGTTGTGAGAAATAGAGAAATGAGAAACTTCAACTAAACGGTCTGAGATGTCATAAAGGGAATAGATTTCAAAAGTATAGGAGTACTGGGAAGCAGCACAAGCCAAGGTAGAAATATAGGGGGAAATAGACTATGCTATAGAAGCAGTGAAGTGTGGGTTCTGGCCAGCACGCATTTAAAGGAGGCATGTCAAAAAGGTTGGAGAGATGATGGAAGGTTCTAAAATCCCATGAAGTTTAGAATTTTATTCTCTAGGTCATGCATTCTCGACAAGGGTTTTAGAGCCCCCAAGCCAGCAAAAATTTGTTCTCAGGAAAACAGAAAAATATCTCATTCTTGTTATGAATAATACAGAGGCATACATACAGTGCACAGGTTGGCTACTAAACAAAAGGATGGCAGTTCAAATACACCCAGAGTTGCCTCAGAAGAAAGGCTTGGCAATCTACTTCAGAAAGATGACAGCCATTGAAAACCCTGTGGAATGGGGTTCCATCTCAACATACATGGGCTCGACTTGACAGCACCTGGTTATACATATAGTTCTTAATGAAAATACTTGATTTTCATAGTAAAGCCAGTGGGAGGGGGTGATGATAACAAAACAAAACAAAAGGTTAAGAAACAACATTTTGGACTCTAGGAAGTCCCATGCTCCAAAGTAGGAATTAGGCCTAAAAACAAACAAATGCTCATAAAAATAGAAGACATTCTGTCTTAAGTCTAATTCTATCCATAGATCTAAAG